GAGGGAAAGACAGAGGAGGAAGAGGAGGAGGAGGAGGGGGAAAGACAGAGGAGGAGGAGGAGGGAAAGACAGAGGAGGAGGAGGGAAAGACAGAGGAGAAAGAGGAGGAGGAGGAGGGAAAGACAGAGGAGGAGGAGGAGGAGGGAAAGACAGAGGAGGAGGAGGAGGAGAAAAGACAGAGGAGGAGGAGGAGGGAAAGACGGAGGAGGAGTATGCAGGCAAAAGAGAGAGGTGGAGGAGGAGGAGGAGGAGGGCAAGAAAGAGGAGGAGGAGGAGGAGGAGGGAAAGAAGGAGGAGGAGGGTAAGAAAGAGGAAGAAGAAGGATGAGGAGGGCAAAAGAGAGAGGTGGAGGAGGAGGAGGGCAAGGAGGAGGAGGAGGAGGAGGGCAAAAGAGAGAGGTGGAGGAGGAGGAGGGAAAGGAGGAGAGAGGAGGGAAAGGAGGAGGAGGAGGGAAAGGAGGAGGAGGAGGAGGAGGGAAAGAAGAAGGAGGAGGAGGAGGAGGGAAAGAAGAAGGAGGAGGAGGAGGAGGAGGAGGGAAAGAAGGAGGAGGAGGAGGGAAGAAGAAGAAGCAGAAGGAGGAGGAGAGGAGGAGGGAAGACAGAGGAGGAAGAGGAGAGGAGGAGGAGGAGGGGAAAGACAGAGGAGGAGGAGGAGGAGGAGGAGGAGGAGGAGGAGGGAAAGACAGAGGAGGAGGAGGGAAAGAAAGAGGAGAAGGAGGAGGAGGGAAAGACAGAGGAGGAGGAGGGAAAGAAGAAGGAGGAGGAGGAGGAGGAGGGAAAGAAGGAGGAGGAGGAGGGAAAGAAGAAGAAGCAGAAGGAGGAGGAGGAGGAGGAGGGAAAGACAGAGGAGGAAGAGGAGGAGGAGGAGGGGAAGACAGAGGAGGAGGAGGAGGAGGAAAGACAGAGGAGGAGGAGGGAAAGACAGAGGAGAAGGAGGAGGAGGAGGAGGGAAAGAAAGAGAAGGAGGAGGAGGGAAAGACAGAGGAGGAGGAGGGAGAGGAGGAGGAGGAGGGAAAGGGAGAGGAGGAGGAGGAGGGAAAGAAAGAGGAGGAGGAAGGAAATAAAGAGGAGGAGGAGGGGAAAGAAAGAGGAGGAGGAGGGAAAGATAGAGTCCTTCTTAGTGAAGGGGTGGTGGTGGGCATAGATAGATAGATAGATAGATAGATAGATAGATAGATAGAGTCCTTCTTAGTGAAGGGGGTGGTGGTGGCATAGATAGATAGATAGATAGATAGATAGATAGATAGATAGATAGATAGATAGATAGATAGATAGATAGATAGATAGAATAGATAGATAGAAACGGAGGAGGAGGAGGAGGGAAAGAAAGAGGAGGAGTATGCAGGCAAAAGAGAGAGGTGAAGGAGGAGGAGGAGGAGGGCAAGAAAGAGGAGGAGGAGGAGGGAAAGAAGGAGGAGGAGGGCAAGAAAGAGGAAGAAGGATGAGGAGTGCAAAAGAGAGAGGTGGAGGAGGAGGAGGAGGAGGGCAAGGAGGAGGAGGAGGAGGAGGAGGGCAAGGAGGAGGAGGAGGAGGGCGAGGAGGAGGAGGAGGGCAAGAAGGAGGAGGGCAAAAGAGAGAGGTGGAGGTGGGAAAGGAGGAGGAGGAGGAGGGAGAGGAGGAGGAGGGAAGGAGGAGGAGGTGGAGGAGGAGGGAAAGGAGGTGGAGGAGGAGGAGGAGGAGGGAAAGGAGGTGGAGGAGGAGGAGGAGGAGGGAAAGAGGAGGAGGTAGGAAAGGAGGAGGAGGAGGAGGAAAAGAAGGAGGAGGAGGAGGAGGAGGAGGGAAAGAAGAAGGAGGAGGAGGAGGGAAAGACAGAGGAGGAAGAGGAGGAGGAGGAGAGGGAAAGACAGAGGAGGAGGAGGAGTAGGAGGGAAAGACAGAGGAGGAGGAGGAGGAGAGAAAGACAGAGGAGAAGGAGGAGGAGGAGGAGGAGGGAAAGACAGAGAAGGAGGAGGAGGGAAAGACAGAGGAGGAGGAGGGAGAGGAGGAGGAGGAGGGAAAGAAAGAGGAGGAGGAAGGAAAGAAAGAGGAGGAGGAGGGGGAAAGAAAGAGGAGGAGGGAAAGATAGAGTCCTTCTTAGTGAAGGGGGTGGTGGTGGGCATAGATAGATAGATAGATAGATAGATAGATAGATAGATAGATAGATAGATAGATAGATAGATAGAGTCCTTCTTAGTGAAGGGGTGGTGGTGGGCATAGATAGATAGATAGATAGATAGATAGATAGATAGGTCCTTCATAGTGAAGGGGGTGGTGGTGGTGGGCATAGATAGATAGATAGATAGATAGATAGATAGATAGATAGATAGATAGATAGATAGATAGATAGATAGTCCTTTTAGTGAAGGGGTGGTGGTGGGCATAGATAGATAGATAGATAGATAGATAGATAGATAGATAGATAGATAGATAGATAGATAGATAGATAGATAGATAGATAGAGTCCTTCTTAGTGAAGGGGGTGGTGGTTGGCATAGATAGATAGATAGATAGATAGATAGATAGATAGATAGATAGATAGATAGATAGATAGATAGATGACAAGAGAGCAAGAAAGAGGAGGAAGGAGGAGGAGGAGGGAAAGAAAGAGGAGGAGGAGGAGGAGGAGGAGGAAAAGAAAGAGGAGGAGGAGGAGGAGGGAAAGAAAGGAGGAGGAGGAGGAGGGAAAGACAGAGGAGGAGGAGGAGGTAAAGACAGAGGAGGAGAGAAAAGAAAGAGGAGGAGGAAGGAAAGAAAGAGGAGGAGGAGGAGGAGGAGGGAAAGAAAGAGGAGGAGGAGGAGGAGGAGGGAAACAAGAAAGAGGAGGAGGAGGGCAAGAAAGAGGAGGAAGGAGGAGGAGGGCAAGAATGAGGAGAAGGAGGAGGGAAAGAAAGAGGAGGAGGAGGGAAAAAGGAGGAGGGAAAGAAAGAGGAGGAGGATGAGGCAAAGAAAGAAGAGGAGGAGGAGGGCAAAAGAGAGAGGTGGAGGAGGAGGAGGAGGGCAAAAAAGAGGAGGAGGAGGAGGAGGGAAAGAAAAAGGAGGAGGGAAAGAAGGAGGAGGAGGAGGAGGAGGAGGGAAACAAGGAGGAGGGGGAGGAGGAGGGAAACAAGAAAGAGGAGGAGGAGGGCAAGAAAGAGGAGGAGGAGGAGGGAAAAAGAGGAGGAGGAGGGAAAGAAAGAGGAGGAGGAGGAGGAGGAGGAGGGAAAGAAAGAGGAGGAGGAGGAGGAGGAGGGAAAGAATAAGGAGGAGGAGGGAAAGAAGGAGGAGGAGGAGGGAAAGAATAAGGAGGAGGAGGGAAAGAAGGAGGAGGAGGAGGGAAAGAAGGAGGAGGAGAATAAGGAGGAGGAGGGAAAGAAGGAGGAGGAGGAGGGAAAGGAGGAGGAGGAGGGAAAGAAGGAGGAGGAGGAGGATGAGGGAAAGAAAGAGGAGGAGGGAAAGAAGGAGGAGGAGGGAAAGAAAGAGGAGGAGGAGGAGGATGAGGGAAAGAAAGAGGAGGAATATGAGGGCAAAAGAGAGAGGTGGAGGAGGACGAGGAAGCGGAGGAGGGTAAAAAAGAGGAGGAGGAGGAGGAGGAGGGAAAGAAGGAGGAGGAGGAGGAGGAGGAGGAGGGAAACAAGGAGGAGGAGGAGGGAAACAAGAAAGAGGAGGAGGAGGGCAAGAAAGAGGAGGAGGAGGAGGGAAAAAAGAGGAGGAGGAGGAGGAGGAAAAGAAGGAGGAGGAGGAAAAGAAGGAGGAGGAGGGAAAGAAAGAGGAGGAGGAGGATGAGGGCAAGAGAGAGGTGGAGGAGGAGGGAAAGAAGGAGGAGGAGGAGGAGGGAAAGATAGAGTCCTTCTTAGTGAAGGGGGTGGTGGTGGGCATAGATAGATAGATAGACTGTAGATAGATAGATAGATAGATAGATAGATAGATAGATACATAGATAGATAGAGAGATAGATAGAGTCCTTCCTAGTGAAGGGGGTGGTGGTGGGCAGATAGATAGATAGATAGATAGATAGATAGATAGATAGATAGATAGATAGATAGATAGATAGATAGATAGATAGATAGATAGATAGATAGTTAGATAGATAGATAGATAGATAGATAGATAGAGTCCTTAGTGAAGGGGGTGGTGGTGGGCATAGATAGATAGATAGATAGATAGATAGATGATAGATAGATAGATAGATAGATAGATAGATAGATAGATAGATAGATAGATAGATAGATAGATAGATAGATAGATAGAGTCCTTCTTAGTGAAGGGGTGGTGGTGGGCATAGATAGATAGATAGATAGATAGATAGATAGATAGATAGATAGATAGATAGATAGATAGATAGATAGATAGATAGATAGATAGATAGTCCTTCTTAGTGAAGGGGGTGGTGGTGGGCATAGATAGATAGATAGATAGATAGATAGATAGATAGATAGATAGATAGATAGATAGATGACAAGAGAGCAAGAGAGAGGAGGAAGGAGGAGGAGGAGGGAAAGAAAGAGGAGGAGGAGGAGGATGAAAAGAAAGAGGAGGAGGAGGGAGAGGAGGAGGAGGGAAAGAAAGAGGAGGAGGAGGATGAGGGCAAGAGAGAGGTGGAGGAGGAGGGAAAGATAGAGTCCTTCTTAGTGAAGGGGGTGGTGGTGGGCATAGATAGATAGATAGATAGATAGATAGATAGATAGATAGATAGATAGATAGAGTCCTTCTTAGTGAAGGGGGTGGTGTTGGGCATAGATAGATAGATAGATAGATAGATAGATAGATAGATAGATAGATAGATAGATAGATAGATAGATAGATAGAGTCCTTCTTAGTGAAGGGGGTGGTGGTGGGCATAGATAGATAGATAGATAGATAGATAGATAGATAGATAGATAGATAGATAGATAGATAGATAGATAAGTCCTTCATAGTGAAGGGGGTGGTGGTGGTGGGCATAGATAGATAGATAGATAGATAGATAGATAGATAGATAGATAGATAGATAGATAGATAGAAGATAGATAGATAGATAGATAGATAGATAGATAGATAGATAGATAGATAGATAGATAGATTCATCGAGTTTTTCTCCGGGTGAACAGGTTTGTAACTTAAAAAAAACAGCAACTTGACACAACGAACAAACGAATGTTACAGTATGAGTTGCTGACACTGAAAAACATGAACTGTTGTAATTAGTAGTAATGCCGCCTTTATTCGTTATATTTTCTGAATTACGTGATTGTTAGATATCATCATCGGATGATTCAGCAGTAGGGAGAGGAAGAGGTAGAGAGAGAGGACAGAGAGGCAGTGGTTCAGTGGGATCTAACGTTAGGTGAGGAGATGGACGACGAGGAGCGCGAGAGTCAACACAACGACGACAAAGATACCCGGCAACTACAAGAGACGATCAAAGTAGAATTGAAAGTTTTCAAAGGCAGCGAAGAGAAACGACAGAGGTTTGTACAATTTATGTGTCTAGCTGTATAAATTAATTTTAATTCTCTGTACAATCTTATCCACATAGCAAAATCATAACTTTAGCTAATTGATAATTTATATAAAAAAAAAAAGAAAGCTATAGAAAATCTTACAGAGAGCAATATTTTCTTTTGCACACACATATTTTTTTTTAAACACTTATACATGAGATCCCTGCAATGCCTCAAGTGCAATATACTGCAAAACATGATGTATGTTATACCTACATGTATATCTAATGGACTAGATCTTATCTTAGAATCATATTTCCTTTCATTTCTTCAGAGACTTCTGCAGAACATGAGCCTTGAGGATCACATACGCCTCGCAGGTAGATTGTTGGAGAGGCAGCCGGGTCTGGTCTTTGATTTATTGATCGAGCATCAGCAAAGACATGGTGCCCCTACATCTGCGGAGGTTCCAGGGGTACCATGGTAGCCACTGCAGAGACATGCCGACCGACAGGGAGCGGAAATGCTGTGGACAGGACCCTGCACACTGCGTGAGCCTCCTTCCACATTTTACACAATACTGCCTGGATGAGGGATATCTTCGGATACATAGACAGTACCGGGAGGATCTCACTGCTTTCGGAAATGTAAGGGAGCCTGGTGATGACAACCGAGAATACAGCTTATAGACACTTTATTTTCTGGCAGCATGGCTCATTAGGACAGGGGAACAGGAGAGTCATTCCAAGCTGCTGTGTTTACAGGATTAGGGAAAAATTCCCAGACCCTCAGGCACAATACACTGGCTACATTCCAGGGATCTGAAAAAGTTTTGTAAATAGTAATATCGATTTATACATGTTGTATTCTTTGAAGTTCTGTTTACTTCACACTTTGTTATAAAGAATAAAATATTTGTTAATTTACTTTGTAATGTATTTTTTTCTAAAATAGGGATAGAGAAACATTTCAAAATTATGTGCAAAATGAATGATACACAAAAAACTTCAAATGAAATTTGTTTGAAAACACAAACATATATTTATTTATAAGTAGAATGATTTTTGATCATGTATTTACAACTGAAATATCAGTAAAACAACTCAATCTCAATCTGTCTCCAAGTTGGTAATAGAATGGAAGGTAGATCCTGTGAAAGACAAGTGCAATTAAATGTACACAATTCAGAATCAGTTTGAATGCAAAAACCAAGCGAACGTCTTAAGTTGACCTCAGACAACAATATAATACAATTTTAAAAGCCAGTTCATGACCCCTTTAATAATATCTGTAAGTGAATTACTGTCTGAAATTCAAAAGATGAAACGGAGACTTGCTGCCTTCATTCAATCCCCACACATTGCTCAAGCCGTGAGATTAGAATTTTGTGGTCCACACACAGTATCAAAGGCAGCACTTAGATCGAATAGTAGGAGAATCACTGAATCCCCTGAGTCAACAGACAATAAAATATCATTAAAAACTTTTAATAAAGCGGACTCAGTACTGTGATATTTTCTAAACCCAGATTGAAATTTTTCAAAAACACTATTTAACTCCAAATGACTCTGTAGTTGTTCCAAAATAACTTTCTCTAAGATTTTTGAAATGAAGGACAGATTTGAAATCGGTCTATAATTGGAAAGTATGTTTGGGTCGAGATTGGGTTTTTTTAAGTAGAGGTTTTACAGTTGCATGTTTAAGGTATTTAGGAACAACACCTGTGAGAAGGGACTTATTTGTTATACCTAAAATAGATGTCCAAAAACATCAAAAATCGGCAGCAAAAAAATGTGTTGGAATAATGTCATGCAGACATGTAGTAGGTTTTAGTTTAGGGGTGATGAACTGAGAAATCAAATTTTCTTTGAGCTTTTGATATCTAATCGGGTTATCATATTATAAGAATATCCTGTAAGTTTCAGAACTGAAAACGTCCTTGTTAGTCCAATAAAAGCTTTTATTTACACCAGCCTCTGAAAACGTCTCGTTTTGAAAAGTGGGAAACTATGACGTCGAATGGGTTAAAACACCACCCCCGCAGAAGAAGATCAACACCTACTTCAACACGGCCGGTTTAGCCCCGCCCACCGATTCGCGCATTACACGCATAGCTAAGTAGCCAAACATACATGCCTACCTCGTGATGACAAACCGGATCGTTCTACCGAGAAATACAGAATATTTTGCAGTGCCTGGTTGTGGAAGAAGACAGTCGCTGCATAAGCTTCCTGTGGATTCCAATAGGACTTCATGGATAAACTTTATTTTTAATGACGTTCCAGCTGATGAGGGTAAAACATCGTCGCCTGTTCGCTTCATTTCACTGAGGATTGTTTTGTAAACAAGACTGGATTTGCAGACCGATTAAGAGTAAAGAACGGTGCTGTGCCGTCTATATTGGATCTGACAGGAATTGTGCAACACACGGACTCTGGGTCGAACATGTATGGGCGAATCATTCCGGTTGCCATTTTACAACATTGGACGTTTTCCCCCACACCGACGGGTGAGTGAAACTCATTATAATATGCAAAACTGTTATCCACTCACAGCAGTGGGCGTTTATTTCCAAGTCTTCAGTGCGACACGCCCATAAAAACCGACCGTTTTTCCGGAAGGCTCACAACTTGGGTACAAAATAGCCTATTACTTATTAATTTTGATGTTTTTGAATGCAAAAACCAAGCGAACGTCTTAAGTTGACCTCAGACAACAATATAATAACATTTTAAAAGCCAGTTCATGACCCCTTTAATAATATCTGTAAGTGAATTTAAAGTTACTGTCTGAAATTCAAAAGATGAGACATAGGGAGAGAGCATAGATGACTCATAGTTTGAAGGGTCAATATTTTGTCTAATATCAACAATTTTATCTGTGAAAAACTTTCACTTACAAAAAAAAGCTATCACATACTGCAGTTGATGCATTTAAACACAGCACTCACAGGATTCATAACCGAATTTAAGATAAGTTCAAGTGTGGTGCTAGTTACCCAAGGTTCGGCTTTAGGCTTTTGCCGTTTTTTTTCTCAGTGGAGCCACAGAGTTCATTATATCATTACAAATGGAATTGAATAACATAAGATGCTCATCAACATTAAGCAGGTTTGAAAGTGAATCAATACCATACATTTGGCAGGTCTCATTAAAAAGAGAAGTAAAAGAATCACAAGAAGACTGGCTAAAAGTACGAATCTGCCGTGAATCCTTCTGAGTTTTATTTATTTAATTTGGAAAGGAGCAAGTGAATGTAACAGGCATATGATCAGAAAAACTCAAATCAAGGATTTCGAGTTCACAGATCGAAATACCATGCAACAGCACAAGATCTAGTGTGTGGCCATGTTTATGGGTAGGACCATTTACCCTATGCATTTACCACCTGCATAAAATCAAACGACTCCCCCGCAATCAAAATGCGATCATACTGAACAACAATATCTCCTAAAAAATTTGCAAACTCATTTAGAAAATCCTTATTTGGTTTTGGAGGGCGGTAAACCACAGCAATCGCTAACTGATGCATGTTTAGCATGAACACGAGAACTTCAAAACCAGTATTAAAGGTGCAGTAAGCGATTTCTGAGAAACACTGTTGATATTTGACATGAACCCAAACAAACACACCCCTCCCCCCATATCTACTCCCCCAAAATGCATGAACACGTAATGCAAGAGTGGACATCAATTTATCATAGAGCGACTCAAATTAATGCTTCATGAAAAATAAAGCAAAGATGACAAAATAATTATAAACAGCTTTAAAATAACATATGCTGATCTTCTTTCAACAGCATTTGTTAGAAATTGCTTACTGCACCTTTAATAAAACACTGCCAGATTCATGTTCATCTGTTGCGGATAATAAAACTTAACGTGCTTTTAGCGTCACTAACCGGACATTTCATTTCCAAACTGCCACCATAAATCAGTGTAAACATGGCCAGATTCGTGTTCATCTGTTGCTAATAGACCTCATCATGTTTTTGTGCCACTCACTGTACATTTAACATTTTGAAAGTGTCATGAAACATGCAAAAAGAATTGTAAATCACATTTTACACAGGCGTGATTTATTCCAATGAGCCTGGTGGCCAAATCACCATTCAAAGATACTTTGTTGCTATTTTCATTCTATTTTGAGCTCAGATGCAGCCTTCTGTATCGCTGTCATCGGTGCATTTGGCAAGACTTGGTTCCCATTAGTAGACTGTGAGATGTGGATGTCTTTAGTTTCATCACGCACAGTCTTCAGAAAGACCATAATCCCTGAGCCTCCAGTACCTCTTTCCTCCAGCGCTGTTGGCGCTTTCCTGATTGCGTCTAGCTCCTTGACCAAACCCTGCTTGTTTTCACGGAGCTGTCTGGCACGGGACGCCGGTATAGTGATGTAACGGGTGACAATGTTGATGTGGCAATTCCTAAATTCCACCAACCGGGCCACACATTGTTCAAATGTGTGCGTTAGGTGCTCATCCGCTTGCTGGAGCACAAAGTCGCGCAGGGACGGGCGACTAGAGATGTCTTCAATGAAAAGCTTATGGGCGGGCGGCATGTAGTCCCTCATTCTTCTCAGGAAGGCCCCTGTTTGAAGAGGATAGACAGAGCAAAACTACATTTTCAATACACATGCAAAAAAGTGTTCAATAAATTGAATCTGACATTTATTAATAAAGTTCCCTTGCATTTTATATAGGCCTATTTATATAAGCGTTCAAAATGTTTGGGTTGTAAGATTGTTGAATTTATTTGACATTGATTGTTTATAGGGTAATTCCATCGGTGGAGACATAATTATGTATTGATAGTGGGTCATATATGTAGTAGAATAATATCATAAATTTCTAATTTGGGTCCTTATTGGCCGATAAAAGGCAGAAAATGACTTTTTAGTGCTTGTGGATTGTAGACAACAATCCCTATAGTGCATTGCAATGCTCAGCTCCGCAGGCCACTCCCACTGCTCCGCCCATCAATGTAGACTAGAGTTGAGCTCCACTCTACGTTACCGCCTGGAAATCATTTCGCACAATGAAATCAGATAATGCGCGCTAATATAATATGACGACGTAAGAGCGTCACGGCGGCGACCGCGCCATCAGCCAAAGATTGGCGTGATTCTATTTGGGCTTCAGACAATCGGCACACTTACTCTGACGCATTAATTTTACACATGAAATGCAGCCAAACCTCGGAGTGTTTTGTCTTCGGCATCTTCATTAATGCCCTCGCTATCAGACGTTCCGAGAGTCTCCCGCATATTGAAAACAGCTCGCTAAAGCCGCAAATTAGTTAAAATCTCCGGAATCTAGAGCGAGTCAGCAAGAGAGCGTGTACGAGACAGATCAGACTGTGCTCCAAACCGTATGCGCACAAGGGAGAGGGAAAGAGCGAGAGACTTGTGTGAGTGTGTGAGAAAATTTTCATTCTTATTCGGTCTGGTTATTACCGTTTACGTCGGGACCGGTTCCCTATTGGTACCGCGTTTTGGTACCCAACCCTATCCATAATGCATCCGTCTGGGTATTCAGTACCTTCGTCCATAATTTCAACATTTTTCTGCCGGTGAACTCAAACGCACTGGCACTGATCTGTGATAGGTCTGTTAGCGCATTCAGGGGCGGAGTGCGACCAAAAAATCTACCGGGAAATTTCGTAGACCACCGGCCCTCATCGCCGGCACGATTTTAATAGCCGATAGCATTTACAGTTTTATTGATTTAAAAGGAACTTTGTTGTTCTAGTATGCTGGAGTAAAGTTCATAAATGGTCGTTCTTTCCCATAGTAATTTCTAAAACCATGTTGGGAGGACTCTGTGCCTCTAGGGGGGTTCGGGGGCATGCTCCCCCGCAAGAAAATTTTGGACATTTTAAGGTTAAATGCATCAATCTCGTGCTCTATGAGAGATCGAAATTAAGAGCTTCAACCCATGAACTGCTCGTTGAACAAAGAAAAAACATTAATTTGTACCAGGACAATAAAGAGGGCTCAAACATCTTTTTAGTTATGAGAGTCTCAGTCTGCATTACATTATCAGTGGTGTTTTAGGATGCCAAACAATTATTATAATAATGTAATAATGATTTATAATTATTCCTATGACGTACTGTAAAATCCATTTATAGCCTATAAATGTACTATGTAAATGAAAATGAGTATTTCAAAAGTATATTTTAACCTACATTACACTATAATATAGGAAAATTAAAATACTTTTGTCCTAATTTCTTCACTTGCAAGAAATAAACCCTTGAGCTTTTATTTAGGAGAAAACACCAGCAGCCTGACCATGATGATCGCGTGAGCAAAGTAATCACGCAGCACAAACTGGATGCTATATGTCAGTTATTATAATGGCGCAACGCCATATATATTCATGGTTTCAATTTTAGTTCGTTGGCAAAATATAACGCTAGAGACCTTAATGTTAGGTTTTACATATCTGTGTTGGGAAAAAAGGAGAAGAGAGAGTTCGGCAAGGCGGATTCGAACTCGCGTTCAGCGCATCAAAAAGCTGCTTTCAAGTAGCCTACTTCACGCCCTACGACCTACGCCACTGAGGTTGTTTCAAGACGGGTGTCGTTTTGCTGTAAAGACAGGCACTTAGTGCAAATATATGCTCCGTTATAGAAAATGTAAAAAAAATAAAAAATAATGTTTTCTTCCCTTAGCTTGGGCCATGGCAAACTTCCAATAAATACATTTTATCAGACCGGGCCGGCCCTCGCGGCCTCGAAACACTACCGGCCCACCGGGAAAACTCCCGACTCTCCCGATTGCCACTCCGCTACTGGCGGGTTTGAAAGGGTGGGATCTAGTGCTTGAAATCCCCTTCTTAAACTTCCTCCTACAATGACGTAAAATGACGTTTTTTGCATAATTGTAGGAGGAAGTGTAAAAGGTAAATAGCGAAAGGGGAAAGTGGGAGAGTGTTGCACTGGATTTCTAACAATGGAAATCTTAATGCAAATGGGTCGAGTGTCTCTTTAATTGAACAAAAAAACAGTAAAATTGTCAAATTGGAAACTTTTTTTCCTGTTTTTAATATACTTTACATTTTCAGCATCATTACTCCATAAATCATTGTAGTATGGTGATTTGCTGCTCGAGAAACATTTATTATTATCATTAATAATGAAAACAGTTGTGTTGCTTAAAGTCCCTATGAAATCAAAATTGACCATACTTACTTTGTTTGCCTAAATTGATCGTTTTGTGGTGAACAATTCATACATGTAAGTCAATCCACACACAAAAAAAAAAAATTTGGCTTCGTAATCTTTAATCAAATTTTGAAAATGCCCCTCCCCTCTGCATTGGAGGACCTTGCCCGATGATGTAGGCTTTACGGTTTGGGTGTCTCCTTAACATCCATAACCACGCCCCTCCAACTGACAGCTGCTGTGTGTTTGCGAGCGCCGAGCGAGCATTGATTGACAGCGTGTGTAAACTTGCGTCATCCTCCATTTCAGAATGAAACACCCATTTTTCTAGATCCAATCAGGTGCTAGTTAGAAAAAAAAGCCACGCCCACTATTTTGCCTCATTTTATTCCGTTTCTCTCCGAAATACGTCACAACACTGGAGAAAAGTCGTTTGCAACGTCCGGTTCACGGGGACTTTAATATTTTTGTGAAAACCATGCTAAAAAAATTCTTTAATGAATTCTTTAATCTTCATCCATTCATTCATCTTTAATGAATGGATTCTTTATTGTCTTTACAGTCACCTTTGAATAATTGACTACAATATGAATATTATTATTATTAACCGTGAGTGGAATAACTGATGATTCTCTTACCACTGCTGCCTTCATGTTGGACTCCCAGCAGTTCATCAAAGCAGTGTAAAATACTACTCTGTGCTGCACTGCCTCCCGAAAACTCCATCGGCTTCTCTTGAACTCCCTCATACACGAGACCTTCTGGCATTGATGGGTTATCTTTCCATCTAAAACCCACATTAAAGGGATTGTTCACTTTGAAATTAATTTTGTTATGTTTTAGCTTTCCTCAAGGGCATCCAAGATGTAGGTGTCTTTGTTTCCGCAATATTTTCAATTTTGATATTTTGGGTTCAAACTGTTGTTCTCTGTCAGTCATATAATGCAGGTCTATGGTCACCACCTCAAAGAGCATGCACAGAGAAGTCCAAATTAAATGTAAATGTAAGTATACAATGATGGCCTATGACACGAAACGAGCGGTTTGTGTGAGAAAACGAACAGTATTTATATTGTTTTTACCTCTTGTAACCACAGCCACGTCCAAATGATCTGAGGGCGTGGGCGCTTTGTGGCTGTGGCTTGTGAAAGGTAAAAACGATAAAAATACTGTTTTCTCACACAAACCGCTCGTTTCGTGTCTTGGGCCATCAATGTGTACTTACATTTACAAGTCATTAAATCATGTTTAATGCATGTTGCATGCTCTTTGAGGTGGTGACCATAGACCTGCATTATATGACAGACAGACAAGAACGGTTTGACCTAAAAATATCATAATTGAAAATACTGTGGAAACAAAGACACCTACATCTTGGATGCCCTTGAGGTAAGCTAAAACATACCAAACATTAATTTCAAAGTGAACTATCCCTGTAAGGAGAGTAAAGTTTCGTAGATTTTAGAAAATAAATAAATAAATACATAAATAAAGAGCTTTGATACCAACAGTGTGACTTACCCAGACAGAAAGATCCTCATAATTCCGTAGAATATGGAGGGATCTACATATTCTGAAATGGTCACAATAAGTATTACAACCACTTGAATGAAGGCATAGAAGTCATTCATCACCTTCAAAAGTATTACCATGCATTAGTTTAAGAGCATGTTTCATGCTGTCTATGGCCTGGCTGACAACATCCAGAGCTTTGGTGACCATAGCAACATCATTATAATGGACACCATTGATGACATCAAGGATAGACTGTAAAAAAAAGAAGCAGCATTACAATGGTACAGTAATGCATGCCATGATTTTTAAAATTTGTAAATACAGCAATGATGATTGGAGTAAGTTTTACAAGAGAATAATTTTTTAGCAATAGCAATTTCTGAGTGAAAATTGTTTCCAAAGTTCACAATCACATACCATGGTATTTACACTCCAAGGTTATTCAACAAATAGTGTATCAACATGAATGATTTACTTTCATGGCTTCTTTATCTCAGTGCTCTGTGGCATATGTAAGAGTGTCAGACCTTCAGGCCAGGAACAGCCGCCAGCTCCACCAGAAGTGTGACCAGAAAAAACCCTCTTACACTTTCCCCTCCAGGCAAAGTCAACAACAACTCCAGGTTCCTACAGGACACAAGAACAGTCCATCAGAACAGCACTAGCCATAAACTGAATCAAAGTATTGTAAAGATTTTATTCGTTGTCTTTTTTACGTTATCTTATCACATGGTGGTGTCTAATTCTCGACGTAAATGTATTATAAGGGAAATCTGAATACACAGAGGACATTTACATATTCCACACTGTACATAATAAGATGGCTCCCTCTGCTGGCTCTAAACATTAATAACACTTAACACACATTTCTGTTAATACAACAAATACTTACTCCATGGAAAAAGGTCTGGGAACAATCAGTGTCCAGTTGTGCATGAAAAAGAAAGGTACAATTTATTATGCACATGCCACAGCTGATTTGTCTAAATATACGCTGTATGTAAATATTGTTTTGTTTACTACAAAAAAAGCATTTAGCAGGTTTCTTTCATTCACTCAGATATTGCAATTTAATTTCAAGTCGACTCAGAAGTGAACCCGAATCCCATCACAGTAACAACCCAATGTCAGATTCATGGATGAAAGTTTTAACTACAAATGGTGAAACAATATAATATCTATTGTAATGAAATTGATTACAACTTTATTGTATTCTGTCTGAAAATAATGACACTTTTGTCAGTGGAAAGGTGGGGCAAAAATAAAGACTATTTTAGCCCAATTGTTGTAGTTATGACATCAACAGTAGTACAGTAGTATTCATGCTAACAAACCAAACACTGACCCCTTGGTAGTACACTTGGTCATTCAATGTACTGAAAATGTCCACACAGTGCACAGTATACATTTCCCTAAAAGTGTATGTACAGTTACATATATTGGCAAACCTCAGACTTTCAGCTGTTAGCAATGAACAAATCAAACTGTTTTTTTTTTAAAATAGCTCAACAAAACAAATCTTTCAAGTGGTTTCCCCAAATTCAACTGAAAATGCAACTTTTAATGTCTTCTGCAGTCTCAAAATTATTAACCCCTCACAACAGCTCAAATCTGCAAAACAGGAGTTGTCTCAAGCACACCTGATGCAACCAATCAAGGGCTTCATTAGTTTCACCAGGTGTGCTTGAGCAAGAACACATTAAATATCTGAACTGGCTAGGGGTTTGTTGAGGGTGCTTTCACACTGCCAGCTTAGGCTATGTTTACACGGAAACGATTCTGAAGAGAAAACGCAAAAGTGGCGTTGCGTCATCACTGTTTATTCTGCGTTTAGACGAGCGTTTTGTGTGGGAAATCCGCGTGCAAATGGTGACGCAAAAGTGTGTGAAATTCAATGTAGTATGCACTTCAGGTGGCTAGGAGTGCACACTACAACAACACCAAGTCCACGCGCCTGCGTACAACCTTCACTGTCAAGCAGACTTTTGTGTTTTTACCGTTTACGCGGGAACGCGGCGGTGGAGCGTTTTTAAGATTTCCACTCTGGAGGGTGGTTTCACTTTTTTGCGTTTTTAAGCCTCAAAAACGCCGTCGCCGTGTAAACGAAAGGCACATCCGATAAAATATTTTTACGTTTTCACCCGCGAGCGTTCTCGTATAAACTGGGCCTTAGTTCGTAAGAGGCCACGGTTCACATGAAAAATTGCTATTGTGTCAAGCGACTTTAACGCGCCCGTAAACCATCCTAAAAGGCGCGCCACATTTGCAAAAATGCTGCCCGTCAAAAAACTGGCCAATGCCCATCTTTCTCCGATGCAAATTAATCCTTTGACCGCAACGCGACTATCCAATAGAAGTAGAGCACATGGAGACTGGGGGAAGTCTCTCGCGGGTCCAATTTGTTAAACGTCCTACTAAAAAAAAACACACCCATAGTGGTAAACTTGAGAACATCAACGTAGGCTACAAATGAGGGGAGGCATCACAACACCACGCTTCAAGCCCCGTTCACGCCGCCAGTGACTTTGTCACTGTATGTCTCTAGTCTCTGTACTGCGAGTCACTTATGGGCGTTCGTAGGGCTGTCACTTTAATGTTATTGGTCACATACACTGCAAACTAAGGGTGTTTTCTCACCTGAAAGTCCACACCAAGGTCCGAACCAGAGTTCACGCTTTGATGCATTTTTATACTTTCAGAAAGTTTTGGTTTGGTTTCACACTGCAATAATGCGAGCGCACTATAGAACAATTCAACAATTCGACGGGTAACTTTGACAACATATGAACGAACAGACGCATATCGTTGCAACTTATGGCATAATTAATACCTGCAGCACCAACTATACACAATGCTAGTTCAAATTCGCCAAATGAACGTCCTCGTCGTGCGAAAATTTTATCGCCGCCGGCAGGAAAGGAGGAGAAGATTGCAAGTTGAGTTCTTATTATGTTGTCAGACCATACTTCAATTAAAAACCTCGTCTCCTCATCTCCCCATGTGCTACACGGCTCATTTTTCCTGCCACCTTCTGTTTTTTTCGTCTTTTTGGGAACCACCAGAACTTCCTGTAAAAAAGTCTGAAAGTCCGAACCATACAGAAATGCTTTTACACTATAAACAAACCAAACCTTTTTACAGTTTGATCCGGACCGAGACTACCTCTTCTTCGTCTCTTTACGTTGTGCTCCGGGGGAGGTTTCACACCTCTAATTTTGATTCGGACCGAACTGAAAAGTCCGAAAGTCCGGACCAAACAAGGTAGGAGTGAAAGGGTCAACTGTCACTATTCGCTCAATAATGACATTTTGAATGCAAATATGACATTGTTGAGATGAGAATTTGACATAAACCAAAACATCATAACCTGACAGTGTCTTGGTAATGACAACTTGACATTATCAAGTCAACATAAATATGTCATAAAAATGACATAGCAGATTAATTATCAAACTTAGCTTTGTGGGTTAACATTACATTCAACTTTCATGTGGTTGGCTTTGACATTGGCATTATAACTCTGTCATGAATATTTTCTTGGCCCTGAACTACAGTCGTACAAATTGAATTTGTCATTAAAATGTTATAATGTCCTCATGACAGCCTGTCAAAACCAACTACATGTAATGTTCACCCTTAAAGCTAAGTAGTTTCTTAAGTTTGATAATTAATCTGCTATGTCATGTTTATGACGGGTTGTGTTGTCTTAGTGATGTCAAGTTGTCATGACGTATTGTATGTATTGTAACGTCATAACTAACATGCATGAAACCATAACATATGTCATGTCGTGATTATGAACGTGTCATGTAAGTCTTATGCACACCCCTTCAAGTAAAGTGTTACCTAAACGAAATATTTGTTAAAACAGTGCAGGGTAACATTATTTTTACATATGGATCAGTGAGTTTACCCATCTGGGTCTGTTTTCTTCCAGTTGGCAAGGACTGTGTCCGCATGGATGAGGATTGGGGGCAGACCCAGTCTTCGAGACACCTCACAGAACGGCACGGACAGATTCTGCGGAAGCACCTGGAGGTTCATGACACACAGGAAATAGTCAGACAGGTCCGTTCTGTGGTTCAGTCCTATTAGTGGTCTGAAGTGCATTTAAAATCACTGTTGTACTTTTACTGTTTCTCTCTCTCCCTCCTGCCATACGTAACCCATAGCCATCGTGCTCAAAGCCAGATGGGCCAAACGTAGCTCACGGTAGCTCTGCAACAAATGAGTCTCCAACAGAGGCATCTGAGATGAAATAATGCATACAAAACAATCACAGAACAATCATCATTGGATTATTAGGACTTTCAGACCCTGCATGCAAATAAATATTACAGATTAAAAAACGATCGGAAATGTCGTCCAATTTTCTAATACTATTATTTGATGACAACAATACATTTGGGAAACAAAATACGGCCATTTCTGATTTTTTTTCCAAGTTGCACCCTTTTTTAAATGTCATCTTTCATTCCGAAATAGAATAATGAATGAACGAAAAAGTACACGGACCTATTATATACTTAATATCTGGTCTCTAAAGCACAAAATAATGACTTGAAAAGCAAATGTTTTTTAATTTTAATTCTATTCTGTACTTAGTAAGAAAGATCATACATCATGAATTTTATGGCGCAAAGAATGAGAAGAGATGAGTTCTGGCACATTTCTGGCAATGTCCATCCAGGGCTTGTAGAACACCGGCAGGTCTGTCTGAAACACAGTATAGATGTGTATAGATTATGTCCATAACACAGTATGTAACATAATATATGTTTATGATGCATTTTCTCGTACATTTACTGTAATGCAAATGTGTTTTGAAGTATTTCATACTTCAAATCATATTATTATGACTTGCATATATCCATAAAATATACCATGCATTTATGCTTTATCTCAGACAAAAAGAGGTGAATATGGCTGATTGCAGTCCAAAGGTGTACCTTAAGGTGATTTTTATGTTTTACACCAGAGATATAATCCCAGATACTAAACGTGTCAAAGTTAACGACCGTGCAGCTAAAAAATGATCTGCACTTAAAATAAAATATTAAAGTCAGCTTACTAATTTGATCTTGTTTCTGTAAGAGCACTGTCTTTGAAATGTGCAAAGTTTTATATTAACCTATTTGCCATTAAAGCAAATAGATAAAGGTCACTCCGAAAGCAAACAGTGTCGAAGTCTAATGCTTTTATATGCAAGTAATCAGACTAACTGTATCTTATTATAAATGCAAATTAATAGTTTGTGAAAAACATTCCCAGCACTTGAAATATATCAAGTAATGAAACAAACTGACTTTGTACCTGAGAACAATCAATTGTTCCCTTGTCATAAATGTACATATTTTAGTCAGTTCATTTCCCTAAATAGTACACAGCATAAAAGACACCAATAGTACATACTTACTACAATGTTACGATATCCAAAAAAAGAAAAAAGAAAAAAAAGAGGATTAGTTACAGCTAATAAAAAGTGTAATGACCTACCAGTGGCTCAGGGAGAATAAACCCACAATCCTCAGAGATGTGAAACTTTCTCAAAGACAGTAGTGTCCCTGTATTTTTCACTGCAGTGCCCATGATGTTTATTACAAAACTTGTGATTGACTCTGTTTAGCAAGTGTCAGATATGCTACTTACTGTGCTCTAGCTCTCTCTCTCTCTCCTACCGTTAACAATGAACTTTCCCCACTTCCCTTTTCAGAAATCATATACATGTGTTCAAAACCAATAAGGTGCTATTTAACGTCAGTTGTCATAACCTGTAATACAAGGGTAATTCTGTAATTGTATTGTGTCATTTCAAGTAAAAACAAAAATGTAATTCAGAAAGTTATAGGTTGAGAGTTCATGTTACACTTTAGGGTTAGTTTACCCAAAAATGAAAATGAGCCCAGGATTTAACTCACCCTGAAGCCACCCTAGGTGTACATGACGTTCTTTTTTCAGATTAATATAATAAGAGTTTGGTGTCCTGGCTCTTCTAAGCTTGATAATGGGAGTGAATGGATGTAGAAAATTTGAAGCCCAAAAAAGTGCTAATCTTGCCATTTCACTTTTGAGTGATTGTACTTTTTAATTATTCCTTCACTTGAATGATAATCAATGTGATGTTGTAGGATTGAATATAATCCAAGATATTTGAAATGAACATTTGATTGACATTTGCTTTACTGTTTTCCACTTCCTCTTTCTACCACAAAGACCATTTGGAGCTCCCAGAGGCACAGATAGTGATCAAGTGTGTACTCTGGGGGTCTATTTTCACACCTTTAGTTCCATGGGGGATTATAAGTTGTATTTATATTGGTCAGTTTGAATGTCTCACATTAGAATTTTGGCCAAATATACAGGGAAAGGATGAAAGAAGATTGGAACTGTTGCTCAGTTACTGGGATTTTCACGCACAACCATTTCTAGGGTTTACAAAGAATGGTGTGAAAAGGGAAAAACATCCAGTATGCGTCAGTCCTGTGGGCGAAAATGCCTTGTTGATGCTAGAGGTCAGAGGAGAATGGGCCGACTGATTCAAGCTGATAGAAGAGCAACTTTGACTGAAATAACCACTCGTTACAACCGAGGTATGCAGCAAAGCATTTGTGAAGCCACAACACGCACAACCTTGAGGCGGATGGGCTACAACAGCAGAAGACCCCACCGGGTACCACTCATCTCCACTACAAATAGGCTACAATTTGCAAGAGCTCACCAAAATTGGACAGTTGAAGACTGGAAAAATGTTGCCTGGTCTGATTTCTGTTGAGACATTCAGATGGTAGAGTCAGAATTTGGCGTAAACAGAATGAGAACATGGATTCATCATGCCTTGTTCCCACTGTGCAGGCTGGTGGTGGTGGTGTAATGGTGTGGGGGATGTTTTCTTGGCACACTTTAGGCCCCTTAGTGCCAATTGGGCATCGTTTAAATGCCACGGCCTACCTGAGCATTGTTTCTGACCATGTCCATCCCTTTATGCCCACCATGTCCCCATCCTCTGGTGGCTACTTCCAGCAGGATAATGCGCCATGTCACAAAGCTCGAATCATTTCAAATTGGTTTCTTGAACATGACAATGAGTTGACTGTACTAAAATGGCCCCCACAGTCACCAGATCTCAACCCAATAGAGCATCTTTGGGATGTGGTGGAACGGGAGCTTCGTGTCCTGGATGTGCATCCCACAAATCTCCATCAACTGCAAGATGCTATCCTATCAATATGGGCCAACATTTCTAAAGAACGCTTTCAGCACCTTGTTGAATCAATGCCACGTAGAATTAAGGAAGTGTCAAGTATTAGTATGGTGTTCCTAATAATCCTTTATGTGAGGGTATGTGCTGGGTACAATTAATTATGTAAGTTGTTATCATTTCATACTTTTAATTTGTAACTACTTTAAGTGTAACCATAACCATATTTTGTCATTAAACCTTTTCAATTACATTACAACGATTTGGTATTGACTATGAAGTGCTACCTTTTGCAATACATTATTTCACTCCCTATAGCAATGCTCTCTGTAGCGCACGTTACATTTAATGCGTTACTTCCATAGACTGTAAAAAAAGATGCACGACGCTCCTCCGCTCTTTTCCATCAGAGAGAACTGAAGCCGCCAGTGTCCCGATATGGTGCTGACATTTTGGGACTTGAGTCTGCACACTTGCGTTTTCGGGACTAGATATGCACAGTCGTGAACAGGAAGTAAAGTTGCGAAATCAAGGAGGACATGACCACGGGTCATGATCAGGAAACATGGCGGAACTGGAAATCCACACGGATCCACAATCCTCCGTGGTGGTCTACTGCTACTTGTTCAACCCTTCAAACTTTGATTATGTCGGCAGAGAAAGAGGCTACTGTGATATGGAGATCCATGGTGTGGCTCGCTGGACCACTGACCATGGCAGAGCCGATGGATTGGGAGTCTGTGGTAGAACCAGGCCAAGACAGAGCCAAAGTCTATACTTGTGGACGGACTGGGATTTGGACGCGATGAACCATACCTCTGGCTCAGGGTTGGGACTCCTCTTCCTCCTCACTCACTGTGAAGAGGAATCCACAAAATAGAAGCATTCACTCCACATACAAGGTCCCTCGAGGACCATCTCCTGACAGGTGGGCTTTCATCTGCCCATTGAGTTCCACATAATAGCACAAGCAGAGGGTCTCATCAGGTTAGGACACAATGTGAGCCAGATCTGAAAACTCGTGTGTGGTGTTTGCGTCATTACTCCACTCTTCAATGTCACATGATCCTCCAGAAATCATGCAAATGCTAAAAATTTTTTCAAGAACAATTTCTTATTTTTATCAGTGTTGAAAATTGATACATATTGTTGTGGATAGGGGTGTAGCAACATCTCGTGTCACAATATATCGCAATATGTGTATAGTTCATCCAAAATAAAAAAGAAATGTGCCAGTAGGCCTACTACATTACAACTACTGTTGAATATAATGTACTTTATAATAGTGCAATGGGGAACTTTTTGTGTGTCCTGATGATTCCAAATTTTGGATGTCACCAGTAAAAAGTGCCTACATTATTTTAAATATATCTAGTCAGAGTGAAAGCAAATAATCTTTGTGTAAATAATCCAGTATTTTCAGCTTCAGAATCATGAATATTTTTATTCACCATTGTCCTGTGCGTTATGTTATCAGTACCAAGTCCAAGTCTATTCATTTACAATCACACCATAATATAAGTAGTATTTTAATCATAAATGATATATGATGATATGTCTTGAATCGTGACATGAGAGTATTGTTGCACCCCAAGAAACCAGTGATACATTTTTTTTCAGGATTCTTTGATGAATAGTACTTATTTTCAATGAATAGTTTTTATTGAAGAACAACTTTTATTTAAAATAGATTGTTTTTGTAACATTATAGATTTTTTTTACTATTACGTTTGAGCAATTTAATGTATCCTTGTTGAATAAAAGAAGTAATTTATTAATATGTTTTTTTTTTTTTTTTAATTTTATCAATCTGACCCCAAACTTGTGTTGGTGGGACTAATACATCAAGAAACCATAGCAAAGAACACAGGGACTCATCACATGTTATGAAACTAAAGTCATATTATGTGACAGGATGATGTCCTCAAATAGACTAAAAATGTACATAGAGCACAATTTTCTGTGGAACTGTATAAATGTGTATCATGCGTAAATTTTGTCATATAATTTTCTGGCTTTCCGTTGAAATCAGTTTCAAAGTTACAAAGCAACATTGAACTAAATTTAGGTTTAACCTTGAATAACCCTTTAAATCGGGACTTTTTGTCATGTTATAAATAGGCCTATGCATTGACACAGCCCTCTAATCTCAGAGATTATCAAGAATGAATGTTTTATTAGTTTTGAGTTATTGTTTATCAATTAAACAACCAAGATATATAGTGATAGGGCCCATATTTTGCTCAAAATCTCCACACATATCAAATCTGGATTGTTTAAAAGGTAGTGCTCACTCTTAAACCCAGATTAGGCCCTTGGAGTGAAAATAAAATCAAGAGGAAACACAAACATTACCTCTTTATCCAGGGATCAGCTTGCTAAAGGATAGAGAGACTGCATTTAGCCCATCCTAAAGCAAGTGAACAAGGAGTCGGTGGGTATGTGTGTTTCAGTGAATGTGCATTACTGTTGTGTTGTTGTGCCTGTGTTGTACAGTTCGTACGGTTACTGAGGAAACATAAGAGTCAGTCCAGCGCTGCTGCCCGCCGCCGAGCCTGAGCAAAAGTCTCCGTTTCATCTGATGGCGTTTGAGGAGGAGAAGCATAGAGCCATTTCTCTCGAACGCGTTTTGATTGGCGGCAGCGACTTTAAGCCGTATATTCGAGATCCGAAAATGAAGTTTAGTTCCAGCCTTCCATCATCCGATGCATTTGTTGTTCTGTCGCTTCCCAATATCGGCCGAGCCGATGCAACACTTCCCTGTGATGCGGTAAGAGCAGCCGCAGCGTGTGTGTGTGTGTGTGTTTCTCTCAGTGTATTTAGCATACTTACTGGTGCATTAAGATATTAAGTCACTGTTATTTATTAAAACGACACTTAACGTATCATTTCTCAAGAAGACAGCTTTATAGCCTACAATAGCCTGTAGTAGGCTAAGGGGCGGTGAAGACTAGTGCTACTCATTCAGAAAATGCGGCGGATAATATCCAATCGATGCATCATTGTAAAAACGAGTTATCAGAAATAATTCAATAATGCAAACGGGATATAGCTAGACAATATCATCCTTCAGTATGGCCTATCATTGGAGTGTGCAAAAAACGTCAATTTGTTGTCAGTATTTGTCAAGTTCACTAGCATGCTCTTTAAAAGGAATTTAAATATCAAGTAAAATGTATACTATTTTATATTTAATACCTAGGCCTAGGTTATTGTAGTAAGATTTAATATTTATTGCCTTATAATAATACTAATATTAGGCCTATAATAGAAAGCTTAAATGAATGAATGAGGTACTGTATCTTAAAGCATCAAGTTACACTGTTACGCTTCAGATGCATATGGTCTATTCTGAATGAGATAGTTTCGATCGGGCGTTGAGAGGCTCTTTCATTGGTGTAGGTTGTGTTTGTTTATAGCAGATATTTGACAGTGTACTTGTGTTTATAGCAGATCATTGGTGTAGGTTGTATAGCAGATGT